GTCCCTGTACCAAAAAAAAAAAAAGATTAAATTATCCAATTACCATTAACTAAGTGACTACTAATTAATAACTTAATCACTGCCTAATCGAGATAGTCACACACACAAAAGTAGGCTGTAAATCCTAATTACAGTATCTTTAGTTATTGCATCAAATGTGGTACGAGATAGACAAACCATTAAACGAGTTTATTTGTTGTATATAGCAATTTGGTTCCACTGATTGTTACTTTCATGGTCTAACAAACAACCGTAAAAACGATGTCCCAAAAAAAAAAGAAAAGAAATATATATTGGTAGTGCACTAGTGCTACATATTACATCCAAAATAAAACCATGTCCTCATCAGCCCGGCCCGAGCACGGGCTTGTATCCTGTGTCTGAGAGGGCCCGAGTCCTTATTTCTTCACCGGCTTTGGTACCAATACTGTGGGAAAACGAAAAAAATTAAATCAGCACAAACTGAGTACTAAAAAATTACCAGATTCAAACTACTCCTTGGCGGGCCTGAGCTGTAAATGGGTTGACCTTGTTTCCCGCGAGTTTCGGTCGGGTTGGACTTGGATCCATTGGGTCGGGGTAAAAACACGCCGGTCCCAGTCCTTGCTATGTTCAAGCCGGTTTCCCCAAGAAAAACCGGCCTTGTCCCTGAGCCGGAAGGGAATTGTTGCTGCTGTTGCAGACTAGGCCAAGCCGCCATTGGTAAACCTCGAGCTGCCATCGTCTGAACCTGATTCATCAATTCAAATGTCACAAACAAATTTTTTCAAAAGGAATGTTAAGATTTATGAGAACTAATGTCTTTCAATTGTGAAATAAAAACACTAAGTACGCACTTGAACCGCTTGCAATTGCAAATGGGCGAGACGAGCTTGAGCTTCGGTCCGACTCAGGTTCGAATTTTCGGCCGGCGAATAAACAGAGCCTGGCTTCATCGGCGGAGCAAAGGGATTGGCTGACTGAAACGGCGTCGTTCCTCGCCACATTTGTTTCTCAGCAGTTTTTCCGGCGGGGGCCGCCGGAGGCGGCGGAACTCGGGACACGCGGTTGGCGCGTGGTTCCCGTCTGCAACCGCACAGAGTCGATTGTGGAGAGCTCGATAGCTTCCCATTCTGTAAACAAAATCCGAAAATTAAATTTAAAAAAAAAAAGTACGAAAAAAGGAGAAAGGGGAAGAACATTTGATAAATACCTTTCGATTGCAGCCCGGGATCGAATCGGAGTCCAGGAAAGCCGAGCGCGCCATCTCACGAGCTAATCCGGCGACGGAGTCATCTTCGTCGCTCTCCGTCCCGGTCGAGCCAGTAACAGAGTCTACCGGCGAGCTCAGATCCCAGTTGAAACCAGGCGAGCTCGCGCAACAATGGCAGAAATCGCTGCTGGCCGCCTTCTTCGTCTTCAGGGGTTGGGGCTTGAAATTGATGTCCAGCAACAGGTCGTCGTCGTCATCAGTTAGAAAATCCGACGGCAGCCAGAACTCGCCGTCTTCCAGCTCCTGCGACATATGTAGCGCCGAGCTAACAGCAGAAAACCGTCAATGGCGCAGGTATTTTGACGAAGGTATTTATATGGAGGTTTTTGCTGCTGGTTCAAGCTTCAAGATTTAATTATAGCAGTCACAGTGTGGGCCACAGAGAGAGTGAGAGACGGTCACGCAAACAGAGAGGCGCATGGTGTGGAGAGAGAAAATTGGAGGCTGGAGATTCTGTTTTTTGATGAAGGTGAGGGGTGAGGCGTAGCTGCGGCGGCGGCGAATGGGAGCACGC